CAGGCATTGAATAATTAATATTGTATTCAGAGGACGTCTGGGATACCACAGACAGATCCCGAGTGTTACTGGAATTGTAACTTCCTTTATAAACAATGGCTTCTTCTTCAATCTGAACATCATGGCAGTCATCAAAATTGTTACCCATAAGATAGCCGGAAAGCTCGGATCCCCGCGTTAAACCAGTTCTCGAAGAGACAAAACCTTCTCCATGGGCAATGCACGACCAGTCCCATACGTACCTGCCAGCACTGCACAAAGCGGATGAGACAAAAACTTTAGAAGGGATGACAAGGATCACCATGTAACCACATTGTCCCTGTATATGCAAAGCAGGAGCGAAATCCACATCCCCGGAGATCAACATAATTGAAGAAGGTGGACGATTGTCGAGGGCAAATAGGAACATATCAACCAAAATAGCCTTGTCAGCAGCATCTTTTCTACCATTTGGCACATCGACAAGCTTAACGCCAGTCCTTTGGCATCCCTCTCTTAGCCTACGAGGAAAGGAATTGAAGTCCCCGTATGCGGAAAACATTGTCACAGCTCCTTTGATCAAAGGGTGTGCTCTCAATGCCAGACGAATGTTGCCAGCAACATCTTCAGGTCTAACATCGCTGGGAACTGGACAGTTTTCGATGTCCCAAAGAATGGCAACAGGCCCATGTAAATTCTCACCTTGTACTGCTGGCAAGGGAGTCGGTTCAATGGAAGAAGTGACAGACATGGCTCCACTGGGGCAAGTTATTTCGGGAATTTTTATATTTGGGGATGGGCTTCGACCAGACATGGCTTTATCCACATAAGACATGCAGAAACACTCACAAAGCCAAGTGACAAAGCCTGGAAATCACGAAAACAGGTTTTTTTTTCAAAAAAAAAGGGCTTAGGAGGTAGCAACAAGATCGAATATTTAACAACATCTCATCAAATAATCTGATAAACAATGGTTAATCAAAAAAAAGGGCTTAGAAGGTAGCAACAAGATCAAATATTTAACATCTCATCAAATAATCTGATAAACAATGGTTAAGGGGAGCATTAATCAGGAAGCTTAATTCTGTACAAGAAGGGCAATCATGTCTTTTTTCGCCAAACGCATTTTGCAGAAGAGAATTCAAATTTATAATAAACATAACAAACTAATCAAACACGTATTCCTACAAAACATTAGGAGCTACTATATAATATCTCTTTCTCATTCCTCTGTATCTTACAGGGCTGCCTTATTATCAATTCTAGGCTATCAAAGTTTCATAAAACTCGGGAGATCAACAGCTTATAATCTTCTGTCTAGGAGATCATTGTCAAATTTCACATAAAAAATTTATATATGCCGCAATACATCTTTTTTCTGAAAATGCACTTTCCTATCTATGAAAGCTTCCTTCTGATGAATACAGTTAACTTAGGTTGCCATCTTTGTCTAATGAGTATCTTTGAAAGTATGAACTTGAAGAGTAGCCTCATTGACTGTCTTAAGCCATGAATCTCTTTTGTGCAAAGCATGTAGTCTTGTCCACATGGTAACACGCAGGCGCAGCGACATTGAGAATAAGGATCGATATCTCTACGTAACGTGCCGCTTAACAGGTTTGGGGTTTACCGGAGTAATGTTCCCAGAAAATCTGGAGGACCTACGATCTTTTTTGTCAAAGAAAAACAAATTTAAAAAGAACTCGATTCAACTTTGATGAATTGTAAGGTATGAAAATATAAAAGAATTATGCAAGAAACACCCAGCAAAAGGTAGCTACACTATTAGTTGTGCCAAACTTGAAAAAACAAGTTAAAAGGTGGAAGCATATTCTGAATGGAAGCCATTGAGTAGAGAAAATGGACTCGCACACATTCGAAAAAGGAAAAATGCGCAATAGCCGTTGAATATATAGATTTCGTAAGACATACGCATATCCCTCCATTTGTGTCAAAGTATGTTTAACCTCATAATCTTGATGTTCAGACCAATTGTTAAATTGTTTTGGATGTGTATATTAGAGGGAAACCCATTTAATATCTTATGGACTAAATATTTGGAC